AATAAGGACTGTAGCGTATTCCAGGCAGAGATCTTCGCTATCAGGAAAACCGTAGAATTGCTGGTGAACTGAACGCATCGGTGACTATATATGTCGATGGCCAAGCGGCCCTGAAAGCCTTAAATTAATCTACCATTAAACCTATGATAGTTCTTGAGTGCAGTAATGCTCTGGAAAAGGGTTAATCCTTCATCAAGCTTTGTTGGGTTCCTGGCCACAGGTAATATATCAGCAGATGAATTGACAAGACATTGCTCCGAGTCAACTGATCTGGAGATTGAGAGCTCGGTTAAGCCATTCTTTATTACTTCTTCCAAGTACTACACAAATATTACTCTGGGAAATTTCGACATAACCGGCTAAATGTAAGGGGGCTGTAATGGATACAAGAAAATTTGGCCGGTGATCTCCGAAAGGAGATCACAGTCGCTCACTTCCACTTCGAAATCTGACTTAAAAGTTGTGGTAGGTATAATCACAGGTCTCTGTAATAATGGGGCCGGACTTCCATGTGTGGGGCGGTGATACTATTGTAGGCTTTTTCAAGACGAGGGAAAGATCTCTCTTTTTGAGTCAGACAGAGATGGGTAAGTAAATTCTGCACGATTTGAGCAAACAGTAATAATAAAGATAAAAAATTGCATAAAAATATTCCAACAAAAATGTTTATCTTATTGATAGTGATATTTTTGTCATATTTTGCAAAACTGTGTTGGGGTATTATATACAGGTCGCATTTATCTTTCAATCGTCACGAAATGGGGTATGGGGGTAGGGTTGGGGTCAGAAAAGAAACTTATTGCTTTTGGAGATGATTGCAAAATATTTGTGGACCAGAAAATCCAGAGGTAACAATTAATAAACAATTTTGTCTGAGGTTAGAGATTTGTAGTATTTGCAACTTCCTATTAATTAAATCGATCGATCGATCGATTTTTCATTTCACATGGTCTGTTTGCACGACTAAGCAAGGGTACTTACTTGTTTATAAGCATCTTTAAGTAAAGTAATGTTCTATATTTGGGCAAATATATTAAACTGTCATGTACAGAGTAAATGGTAAATATTAGCGAAGTAGCGTGCCAAAATTTGGCTGAAAACATCTTGCCGAAGTTTGGATGAAAATGATATCCCAAATGTTTGGTGAAGATAACATGCCAAAGGTTAGTTGAAAATACGGTGCCAATGGTTGTGTTGCGTGAAGAGGTCGTCCAAATGGCAGGTAATAATTTCATGTTTAGATCCAAATTTATTTGGATCTTTTGCCTGCCACTCTTTTTTTTAAAAAGGACTGCGTGTACCAAAAGAGATCATTTCTTATTATGATGGAACAGCATTTTTGGAAGTGATATGGTACTAAACTTTATGACTGGCATGAACTTTATGAAATTATTCAATTAGATGGAACAACTTCCATTGAATTTTGTTAGGATTTTAACACAAATACATTTTGAATACATTTTTTCTTAAGACCATTTAGAGTCTGTGACGTATTTGATGCAAATGTGAGATACTATCGAATGTGATCGGAAGTTAAGTCGGAAGTAGTCGCGTACAACTTCTGCCATATTCTTTGAACTCTTGCCATGGTTCAGGAATGTGCGGCGTTCAGGGTTTTTGAATTCGGATGGTCTGTTGATGGCGACAATAACACTGTGCAACACAACAAATAATTAAGGGTAAAACCCAGCAGATTAAGATAGTAGAGTTAAAAAAGACACGTGAATCGGCATTTGAAAAGTTTACATCGAAGAGTTACCCCACATAGTATATATATTCTTGATCAGCATAAAATTCTATGTCGATTTAGCGACGTCTCTTCGCTTCCGAACGAAATGAAGTAGGTTGATAAAATTTTACTCAAATGTGTATTATGTCAGCAGTACTTGGTACCTCCCTTTTTTCGGTAGTTTGATGATTTTAGCGACATTATTCACTGGAGTTGTTCCAAATTTGGTATTTGTAGTTCGTAATGGATACCACAGCCTATTACAGAAAATTGTCTGTGCAGATCCACGTCTTCGTATAGCCCCCATATAACGGTACCTCCCGATATTCGGTACTTTAATGATTTTAGCGACGTTATTCACATTTATGTTGATCAAATACTTAGCAAAGGCAATATGTCAAAAAAAGAACAGCTCATAAAATTCGTCTTGTGACACCTTGTTATAAAGTAGTTTATGAGTGAAGTTACCTAACGTGCTATTTCTAAATGGAAGATTATAGTTGACTGTACAACAAGAACTTCTTTCTGAGAGACTAAGGTAGTTTGTGTTGCTATTTTGTTTTTAATTGAATTGAAATTGTCCGGCAAGAATATGCAAACTATAAGTAGTTTTTCGCTCCAATATTGTAGACTTGTTATAAAAAGTTGAAAATGCTACATTTTTGGACAGATTATTAAGCTCTCATTTAATACTTTTGATATCGAACTTTCCGTTCAAAAACCGGATAACCCGTTATGACCGACGTGTAAAAATTAAATTTTTGTAATTAGGAATAAAAAATTTTTGAAATTTGTAAATTTTGTTTAAAAATATATATTATAACAGCCACATATTAGCATCGTATAAAAAAACATTTAAAAATCTACTTATTTTTGATAAAACATTTAATTTTTTTGACATATCAATGTTCTCAAGCGTTGATGCATCTACCTATGTTCTTCTACCATGGTCTAACGGTAACAGTACGATTTTACGTTTTACTATAGCACCCATATAACGGTACCTCCAGGAACTCCGTATGTGTATGCTTTTAGCCATATCTATATTTTTCAACGGAAGTGTTTCAAATATGACATTTGATGTTCACTGTAGATGTCAACCAGTTTCCAACTTAAAGCTATGCACAACCAACATCATATTTTTTGCCAATTTAAAAAAATGGGTTTGACTTTTGATATTGCATGGAACAATTCTTCGTTTCCATACATGTGCAATTTTGTTTTGTATATAATAAACCGACAATTTTTAAATAAAAGGCTTAAGTTGAGTTTAGGAGCTATAGTCGGATTGACCTGAAATCTTTACCACGTGTAGATTACGGCAAAGTTTTTTTTTTTTGGGAAAATACTCGGTTACATATCCGGTTCTACAAAACTGAAATGTACAAATGGGTACCATTTGAAAGCTTATGGAAATACCTACTAACAAGTGGTCACATGATGGGTTGGTTTCAATCGGTTCCCTAGTAATACACGAAAATTGGTATTTTTTGTACCGAAAAAAAAAAACCATAAAAATGGGAAAATGGACCCATTGTGGGGTATTATTGGTGTCGCAAATCATGAAATTGAGATTTTCTCCCCTGATATGTATCTAGCCTTTATAGCTTTGTTGTTCCGAAGATATTGACTTTAAAGTCGAATTCCGGTTACTTCCAAAAGTTATAAAGTTTAGAGAAACTTTGGATTACGTGTGAGGCATATCTCAGCGGAGGAAACCTTAAGCCCGGCCGAAGGCCGCCTACTATGTGTATGGATCGAGTAGCCGGTGTTATACATACCTCAGAGGAGAAAATCTCAAGCCACAGCCGAAGGCCGGCTCCCTAAAAAATTACAATATTTAGAAAAACTATGTATCGCGTTGCCGGTATAGGACATACACCAGGGGAGAAAATCTCAAGCCCCGGTTGAAGACCGGCTACTTTAAAAACCTAGATACATATTAGTGGAGAAAATCTCAACTTCATGATTTGCATCACTAATATCTCTGGAACTATGAGATATCAGCACATATGATACAATTTTGGAAGGGCAAGAATATGGGGTATAATGTAGCGTGTAGATCTTAGTACCCCATAATGGGTGCATTTTCGAGTTTTTAGTACTGGTATAAAAATACCAATTGCAGCACATATGATACATTTGGAAAGGCAAGAATATGGGCTATAATGTAGCATGTAGATCTTAATACCTTATAATGGGTCCATTTTTATGTTATTTTTTCAAGAAGTACTGGTATAAAAATACCAATTTTCTTGCATTACTCCGGAACCGGTTCCAACACATGATAGGTAATTCCATAAGCTTTCAAATGGTATTGAATATGAATTTTGTAGAACTGGATACAACCGAATGTTGTATTCGAACTTTCGGGTCAAATAACCCCACGAAAAAATTAGTTTTCCTTAATCAGGTTAAAGATACTAAACTGCGGTAAAAATTTCAAAATGATCCGAGAATAGCCTCAAACTCAACTTGAGCCATGTTTAATTTTGAAAGTTAAATGATTGCTAATAAAAATTAATGATGTTTGTACGAGATTGCCGCATATAATTTTGGAATAATCCATTCATGTCTTCTTCGATTTTGTCCAGAGATAGGAATTCTTACCGTAATTCCGGTCAAGTATTTATTTTAATGTTTGGACTGATTTTTTATAAAACCACCAAAAGTCTAAAGTGCCATTATTACTTTTCCCATATCACTTGTGGAATAGGTATTTTCATAATCTTTCAAATATTTCCCAAATTGTCTATTTTTTGCAGGTTCCATTCCAACAATTGTATTTTGATATCAGTAAATTATAAGATCTCCGTTCATTTTTAATTGCTTCCATTTTCCAATAATTTTTTTTTTTTTTTTTTTTTTTTTTTTTGGTAAATCAACCATCAATTGTTCATATTCTTTGCGTTGGATCCACTGCATATTTATTTCATCTTAAAAGAAAATATGAATCTTAATCGGCTGACAAATACCAAATTTTGATGAACCAATATCGTGTAAAAAGATTCCACATATTGTATTTTCCCTAAATTTATATAATTTAAGTCGTTATTGGTACGTAGAATTGTATTTATGAATCAAAAACGGTGTCGGTTCCCCAGGAAAAATTGTTTCTACGGAAATACTAAGTGGCTAGCCTAATAATTGCTCATTTTCATCCATTACGACGAAAGCTATTCAGTTAGAACAGTACTTATGTACGTATTTGGATTATGAATGACAGACTGTAAAATTTGTTCACTTAATGATTTCAAATTATTTCACTTACCCTATGTTGTCCTGGACCATCTTGTTTGTAGGTGGTGCTCATACAAATTGGTGGAATAATGCATAAACTATTCCATTGCTCAGGATCTTGACCTACGTGAATTGCTTTGGAAGCAAACCCCTTTGGCTGTTTCTTGAACCCCAACTCAGCCATTTTAGATGATATGATATTACTAGTACTGATGATACTAAACGAATTAAATCAGATCAATCTGCAATGTGGAATTTACATTCTTCTTCTTCTGATGAACATATGTTTTTAATTGTCAATTTAAACGATACAATAGGTCTGTCTGATAACTCGTTTATTTTTACGAAGTAAATTTTCGCACTAAGAACTTTTTAACTCTCTGTAACTCAGTAATGTACATTGCATTGGTAAGTCACTTTCATTTACTGTGTTTTGGGTTAACGAACAAAATTTTGTAATAATTTGTACAAAATATTACAAATTATTGCGTTATCGTACACTAATGTCACTTAGCAAATGGATCAGGCATGAAAACCATGGTAGAAGAATATAGGTAAATTTCTTAAATGTTTTATCAAGAATAGATTTTTAAATGTTTCCTTATATGACGCAAATCGGACGTTGTTCTAATATGCATTTTTGAACACTTTTTTACAAATTTCAATAATTTTTCATTCTACATTTTCAATTCCAAAATCAGTTTGACAGTTCATTGTTGCAGCAGCTGTGTCGATGCGACTACCTGAATTCTTCTACCTTGATGAAAACAAAGACTAACAGTACGTTTACATACAACCGGTTTTTAATTTTTTTTTTGTTTTTCAAAAATAAGTATATTATTATATGTTTTGTTATACGCATGGTAGAAGAATATAGGTAGACGCATCGACGCAGCTGCTGGGACAATGAACTGTCAAAACAATTTTGGAATTGAAAATGTTGAATGAAAAATTATTTAAATTTGTAAAAATTGTTGAAAAACGCGTATTATAATATCCTCCGAATGACGTCATATAAGAAAACATATAAAAATCTACTTATATTTGAAAATGCATTTAAAATTTTTTGACATATCAATGTTCCCAAGCGTTGATGCATCCACCTGTATTTTTCTATCATTTTTCAACAATATTTTCGAATTTGAATAACTTTTCTTTTTATTTGCTGTTCTGTAGATCCCTATGGCTGAGTAGAAGTGTTTTATCGCAGAGGATCTTTTTGTTTATTTGCTGTTTACTTGCCTAAACTACGTATATAAACAAACGTTGCATATAATAAAGCTAAAATATAATTACATTAAACGAATGTCTCGTATTGAACTATAAAATATTTGGAAAATTTTGCAATATTTGTTGCATAATCTTGCTGTGTTGCTTTCTTGCTGCCATTTGTGGTCCTTTCGGACATATTTTTTGTTGCTGTTTGCTATTAACCTCAGTTATGCCAGCTGTCAAATGTAAAATTTTTTAACTATACTGTTACAAAGACACAGCCTAGTGTTCTTTGTAAAGCGTGCAACTACTAGTCTCAAAGTTGTTTTGCATGACATAAAGAAGGAAGTGAGATCATGCAATGCGGAAATGAGGACTGACATCAGGTAATGTAATGAATGTGCAGCGGATTGAAGCATCTACTGCTAAGAAGTTTGTTACGCTTGAGAGGAAAGACAATGTAATGCATAAACGGATGAACCGGCCTGAGATCCTCATAGGAGGGTTGTCTGAATGTTTAATGATTTGGAGTTGCCTGTTATTGCATTGGTATCATTCTATAACATACCTCTAAACAGTCAAGGCATCAATCATATATATTATATTAAACGTAGAAAAGTTAGTTAAAGTTAACAAATTTGCGTTGCGTGATAGCCTGATGAGGGAATATTTTAAAAACTCGTAATCTTCGAATCTGTGATCTACTTGGTGTCCAAGGTGTTGCTTTCAATAACAGAGTGTACCTTAATGGTAATTTTTCGTCTGCTGCATCGCATTTAAATTTTGTTTCCAAGAAACTGCGTCGCCTTAAAGTAGTCAAAAAATTTAAGATTTTCAATTCTGATCTCGTAAAGGCATGGTTGGTTTTTTCTGATGGTAGAGGGGATACTTATAATGTTAGTCAATGTGAGTCATTGCTTGCCGATTCGGAAGGCGGTGGGAATTGAATTTGTATATCAAAATTAATTTTTTCTAACTAAAATCTATATTAATATTTTTCTTAATTATTTTAATTTTTTAGTTATTTAATAGTTTTCAATTCCCATCATTTTCTTATCCTGTTTTTGTGTTTGATTTATTTTTTTAATACATTTTGTAGTTAAAATTGTATTTAATTTTCTTTATGAATTTTTTTTTAAATTAAATTTTATTAGTGAATTTTGTTGAATTCTTATAATCGGTTCTCCGCCACAACTACGTCTTATTTATTTGATGTCTTTTAGTACTTATTTAGGGCCGGTGAACCGCAACAACGATTATATTAAATTCGTTTTAGTTTCTTGTAGTAATAAGTTCAATATGGCTCAAATAAACTCACGCAGTATTAAGTCATCTATGAATTATACAAAGTTTTGTGAGCTTAAAACTATTTCATCGGGATCAGGCCTGATCTAGTCCAATAAATGTACCTGGGTATAAATTTGTGAGGAATGACTGTCGACACTCTAGAGATGGTGGTATATATATTTTTAGTGATATTTCTCATAAAGTTGTTTTCAGATCATTTGAAAGCTGCGAATCATTTTTTATTGAGGTTATGTCTGGCGATGAAAAGGTTCTGTATGGTGTTGTGTATCTTCCTCCTCCAGGGATATTAATGTTTTTGATGTTGGAAAATGGTCAGCCTTAATATCTTTACTGTTATTTTTATAAAAACAATGTTTGTTTATTAGTGGAGAAAGATGGTATTGTTTACCAGGGGGTAAGGCATATTGATTTATTTTTAGAGTATTCAAAAATTGTTATAATGTTTGATCCTCATAAATCTATGTCTGTCCGTTCAGTCTGCTTCCGGTTAAATTTGTCAGTTTTTCATAATTCTAAACCTACTCACTATGATGTTACACATCGTGCGTCTTCGCTGCTTGATTTTATGCTGATTAATGATTGTGCTATGGTACATCTGTCTGATCAGACAATATGTCCATCGATATCTGACCATTCACTCATTTTTGCCTCGTTAAATATTGGTGTTAATACATTTTATGATTTTGTTGAGTACGGAGATTAGTCTTGTATTGACTGGCCGGGTTTTTTTTCTTGTTTATCAGCCTTTATTATTGATATTCTGAATGTTCGTTTTTGGGGTTGTTTAATTTTGGTTCTTTGGTGCATAGAAAAATGCGATCTGATGATAAGTGGACTCGTTCACACTTGCTCGATCACTTCGCGATTTGGCTTTTAAGCTTACCTTGATAATAAAAGCAATGATAAATGGAAACATTTTTATCGTTATCGTAATATAGCAAAGTTAATTATTCGTTGTGAGTGTAGAAAGTATACTCTAAGAAATTTTATACGTTGGGTTCAACTGATATGTTTTCGGGTTGTATTGGTGGTGTTGATATGTTTCTTGACATTGACGTTGATGATCTGAACAATTTTTTTCAATATAGGAACTCACATGTACCGAATATTGATTTACAATTGTCTAACGCACGCAGTGATGGATTATCTTTTAGTTGTGTTCGTATGGAAGAAATTATTATTGGACTAAACAGAATAAAGTCTAAATCTGTGGGAGTTTATGGAATACCTATAGATTTTTTGAAATTAATTTTTCCATATGTGTGTGATATTGTTTTGGATTTGGTCAATTCTGTTTTGATGTCGTCTGTTTTTCCTTGTTTGTGGAAGCAAGCCCGTGTTGTTCCAATTCCTAAGGGGAATATTGTTCATGGCCCTGATGATATCAGGCCTACATCAGTTCTCCCTGTGATGGCTAAGGTGTGTGAGTATGTTATGAAGGACGAAATACTTGCTCATGTTGCAAGCAAGATATATAATGGACAGGTATAACTCGAAACTTAAAAAGGATAATGTAATTGTTTCGTTGGATATTACAGGGACATTTGATTCTCTTTCTAATCAAATATTACTCAGTAAACTGATGAATTTTTTTGAGACAGCTTGCAACCTTTTTTTTGTCATATTTGTCCGGTAGATCCCAATTCGTTTATTACAATGGTAGATCTTCAAGTGTGGCATAGCTTTCGTGTGGTGTTCCGCAGGGCTCTGTATTAGGCCCTTTGTTTTTCATTTTATACGTCAATATCCTCTCTGGGTGTTGTTATGGTGTGAATAGTCTGGCAACTCTGCTCGCTTACAAGTGTTTTTCTATGTATCGATTAACATTCCCAATTATAAATTAATTTTACGGTTTGTTTTGTGTATCTCAATTGCTAAATAGTGAAATTTCAAATAATTAAATTTTCATTCATTTTTATCCTATTTTTTCGTTTGTTATAATTATTATTTTTAGCGCCTAGTTTACATTGGTGTTTATATTTTTCGTTTTGGTTTCTATCCTTTGTTTCTTCCATTGTGTAATTCTGTGTTTTGATGTTTGTGGCTAGTTCCCTTAATATATTTGTTCGTAAATAATTAGCTTTTCTTAGCATACTTTTAGGCAGTTGCAGTAATTACTTACCACACCATTTCCAAAATTACACTATTTCCTTAGTTATTTTAAATAAAAAAATAACTCTTTTTACTATTGTTCGTTACTTAGTATTCTCAAAATGGCTTGAGAAAATAAAGATTGTGCTGTTAGAGACATCAATAAATGGCTTCTTAAATGTGCCGGTTTCAACGGTAGACAGTTTGACTTTATTACAGACAAGGCTAAAGGTCTGCGTTGGTCTTGTCTTGAATGTAGAGATTTACAAGTTGATAAGCATTGCCTATTTAAAGAAACTAAGGCTGAAATTGAAAAGTTAAAGAAAAGCTTTAATTTGTCTTTTAAAAAATTTGAAAAAATTAGTCAGCAGGTTTGAATTTTCTGATGACTCTCCTAAGAGAAAAAAAAGACGTTAGTTGAAGCTAACAATCTTGGCCAAAATACCTTAGGTCTCCATACCTTAAAAAGTCTAAATTGTCTAATTTCGCTAAATCCCCCTCCTAATACCAAAAATCCATCTAACGAAAGCCGCAAAGACATAGACCTAACTTCCAATGCTTCCACTTCGACGGCAATCACTAATTTTTCAAAAAGTGTAAAAGCTAACCCACCTGCAGTAGTGGTGCCTGCTCCAACTATAACTCTTACAAACTTTTCCGCGGTTGT